AGAGCCAAAAGCCGAGAAGACTCTCGGACGAAGAAAAAAAAAAAAGACTTGCTTATTTGGATTCGGCTACAGTATAAATTACACATTTTTGGACGTTGTTTTTCAACGTCCCTGCTCAAAGGCACAAGTCGAAAAGTGTTCCCTTGTGTCCCGTCTTCACGTTCATGGGTCAGTTGTTGCATGTTTGGTTGTTTATTTCCATTCGCTTAAGAAAAAAAAAAAACACTTAGTTTTGTATGATGTGCCATTTGCGGGAAAAAAAACAACAAACAAACCCCAAACAACATGCTCCGGTTTCAGTTTTGCGATCCTGGTCTATTCAAAATGAACAGAAGAACAAGCCAAACATGTCTCATTTGAATTCGTTTTGGTTTTGTTTCAATAACAACGCTAGATAATTCATCTGAAACAGTGAAAGAACAATTTAACTACAACATTCGATTTTTTTTTTAAACAAACTAGCATGAAAACCCCATTCGAAAGTAACAAACCCATTTTGATCAAGCCATAGTGGTGCGAAAACAAACAAAAAACAAACAAACAAAAAACAAAGCCAGTAGGGTATGACTGAAATAGCAGGAAGTGAGCCTGAGGCAATGGTGGTGATTGGTGGAAAGAGAGGAAGAGGCGTGGCCTCACTGAGAGCTGGATCTGGCGAGCGTGTGCTGTTCGTTGCTAGTTCTCAGTTTGAATTTGGTGATGGAGCTGTTGAGTTTTTGAAGCGCGCTCTGCGCTGCGTATTTCGACGGGAACAAGGCCAGGATGGTGTATGTGGATGCCAGGTCGTGAGAGTTCGTAATGTCCGCTCCCTCTGATTGGCTGGGGGACGGAGGTTTGGGCAGCCATTTTATGAGAGCGCCAACTTTGCTCAGTTCTGCCAGTAAAGAGTCTGCTTCCACTCGACTGATGCCAGCTGGAAGGTCCGTCACCTCCAAAACACGGCCGGAGTCTGGATGCACAGAAAACATGTGAGTGAAAAACTGATCGTGTTTAACAAAAGTAATAGTGATGCTTGCACTTTTTCGATTAACTTGGAAAAATGTTCAGTACTTTGAATTATTTTTGTATTATTAATGCCATTATTTAAAGGCCAATTTTATTTCAAGTTTTAATTTAATTTCACTACATTACATTTTAATACCAGTATTGTAATACCAAATGTTTTATATACATTTTAAATATATCATTAATATACATTTATTTATATTTACATATGACAACATTTAATATATCTCAATATTTCTGTATTTATTCATAAGTGTACACACATAGGATGCGCTCCAAAAAAAACCCAAACAAATGAAAATAAATAAATAAATAAAAGATATTTGTAGATATGTATAGATCTTTATTATTAATGCTATTATTTAAAGGTAAATATGGTTTAACACCATTTTAAATTAATATACTTCACTTAATTATAATGCATGACATACTATTAGAGTAACAGAAAACTTACAAAATTCAATTTAAACACAGTTTTAGGGGAAAAAAAGTTGAAATAAAACTTCTATATACAGTGGGTACGGAAAGTATTCAGACCCCCTTAAATTTTTCACTCTTTGTTATATTGCAGCCATTTGCTAAAATCATTTGTTAATTTTTTTTCCTCATTAATGTACACACAGCACCCCATATTGACAGAAAAACACAGAATTGTTGACATTTTTGCAGATTTATTAAAAAAGAAAAACTGAAATATCACATGGTCCTAAGTATTCAGACCCTTTGCTGTGACACTCATATATTTAACTCAGGTGCTGTCCATTTCTTCTGAGCATCCTTGAGATGGTTCTACACCTTAATTTGAGTCCAGCTGTGTTTGATTATACTGACTGGACTTGATTAGGAAAGCCACACACCTATATAAGACCTTACAGCTCACAGTGCAAGTCTGAGCAAATGAGAATCATGAGGTCAAAAGGAACTGCCTGAAGAGCTCAGAGACAAAATTGTGGCAAGGCACAGATCTGGCCAAGGTTACAAAAAAAAATCTGCTGCACTTAAGGTTCCTAAGAGCACAGTGGCCTCCATAATCCTTAAATGGAAGACGTGTGGGACGACCAGAACCCTTCCTAGAGCTGGCCAAACTGAGCTATCGGGGGAGAAGAGCCTTGATGAGAGAGGTAAAGAAGAACCCAAAGATCACTGTGGCTGAGCTCCAGAGATGCAGTCGGGAGATGGGAGAAAGTTGTAGAAAGTCAACCATCACTGCAGCCCTCCACCAGTCGGGGCTTTATGGCAGAGTGGCCCGACGGAAGCCTCTCCTCAGTGCAAGACACATGAAAGCCCGCATGGAGGACTCCAAGATGGTGAGAAATAAGATTCTCTGGTCGGATGAGGCCAAGATAGAACTTTTTGGCCTTAATTCTAAGCGGTATGTGTGGAGAAAACCAGGCACTGCTCATCACCTGTCCAATACAGTCCCAACAGTGAAGCATGGTGGTGGCAGCATCATGCTGTGGGGGTGTTTTTCAGCTGCAGGGACAGGACGACTGGTTGCAATCAAGGGAAAGATGAATGCGGCCAAGTACAGGGATATCCTAGACGAAAACCTTCTCCAGAGTGCTCAGGACCTCAGACTGGGCCAAAGGTTTACCTTCCAACAAGACAATGACCCTAAGCACACAGCTAAAATAACGAAGGAGTGGCTTCACAACAACTCTGTGACTGTTCTTGAATGGCCCAGCCAGAGCCCTGACTTAAACCAAATTGAGCAACTCTGGAGAGACCTAAAAATGGCTGTCCACCAACGTTTACCATCCAACCTGACAGAACTGGAGAGGATCTGCAAGGAAGAATGGCAGAGGATCCCCAAATCCAGATGTGAAAAACTTGTTGCATCGTGAAAAATTTAAGGGGTCTGAATACTTTCCGTACCCACTGAATATAAACAAAACCAGATATTATTTTTAGGGTGAGCTCTTTGTCCTACCCAGAATGCCCTAATGCAGATTGTCTGAAACAATTCTGTAATAATAATTCAATAATTCTTATTTTCTTCAAAATAATCTGCTAAACTACAAATTGGATTAGAGTTGAGGCCATTTTCTGATAGGAAGAGGAGTGATTAAGCAGTGCTACACCGCAGGGACACAATCAACATGTGTGAACCACAATTTATTTCAGTACAGATGCAGATCTTGAGTGAAAAACTGATCGTGTTTAACAAAAGTAATAGTGATGCTTGCACTTTTTCGATTAACTTGGAAAAATGTTCAGTACTTTGAATTATTTTTGTATTATTAATGCCATTATTTAAAGGCCAATTTTATTTCAAGTTTTAATTTAATTTCACTACATTACATTTTAATACCAGTATTGTAATACCAAATGTTTTATATATATTTATATAAATTTTAAATATATCATTAATATACATTTATTTATATTTACACATGACAACATTTAATATATCTCAATATTTCTGTATTTATTCATAAGTGTACACACATAGGATGCGCTCCAAAAAAAAACAAAACAAATGAAAATAAATTAATAAAAGATATTTGTAGATATGTATAGATCTGTATTATTAATGCTATTATTTAATGGTAAATATGGTTTAACACCATTTTAAATGAATATACTTCACTTAATTATAATGCATGACATACTATCAGAGTAACAGAAAACTTACAAAATTCAATTTAAACACAGTTTTAGGGAAAAAAATGTTGAAATAAAACTTCTATATACAGTGGGTACGGAAAGTATTCAGACCCCCTTAAATTTTTCACTCTGTTATATTGCAGCCATTTGCTAAAATCATTTAAGTTAATTTTTTTCCCTCATTAATGTACACACAGTACCCCATATTGACAGAAAAACACAGAATTGTTGACATTTTTGCAGATTTATTAAAAAATAAAAACTGAAATATCGCATGGTCCTAAGTATTCAGACCCTTTGCTGTGACACTCATATATTTAACTCAGGTGCTGTCCATTTCTTCTGATCATCCTTGAGATGGTTCTACACCTTCATTTGAGTCTAGCTGTGTTTGATTATACTGATTGGACTTGATTAGGAAAGCCACACACCTGTCTATATAAGACCTTACAGCTCACAGTGCATGTCAGAGCAAATGAGAATCATGAGGTCAAAGGAACGGCCTGAAGAGCTCAGAGACAGAATTGTGGCAAAGCACAGATCTGGCCAAGGTTACAAAAAAAATTCTGCTGCACTTAAGGTACCTAAGAGCACAGTGGCCTCCATAATCCTTAAATGGAACGTTTGGGACGACCAGAACCCTTCCTAGAGCTGGCCATCCGGCCAAACTGAGCTATCGGGGGAGAAGAGCCCAAAGATCACTGTGGCTGAGCTCCAGAGATGCAGTCGGGAGATGGGAGAAAGCTGTAGAAAGTCAACCATCACTGCAGCCCTCCACCAGTCGGGGCTTTATGGCAGAGTGGCCCGACGGAAGCCTCTCCTCAGTGCAAGACACATGAAAGCCCACATGGAGTTTGCTAAAAAACACCTGAAGGACTCCAAGATGGTGAGAAATAAGATTCTCTGGTCGGATGAGGCCAAGATAGAACTTTTTGGCCTTAATTCTAAGCGGTATGTGTGGAGAAAACCAGGCACTGCTCATCACCTGTCCAATACAGTCCCAACAGTGAAGCATGGTGGTGGCAGCATCATGCTGTGGGGGTGTTTTTCAGCTGCAGGGACAGGACGACTGGTTGCAATCAAGGGAAAGATGAATGCGGCCAAGTACAGGGATATCCTGGACGAAAACCTTCTCCAGAGTGCTCAGGACCTCAGACTGGGCCAAAGGTTTACCTTCCAACAAGACAATGACCCTAAGCACACAGCTAAAATAACAAAGGAGTGGCTTCACAACAACTCTGTGACTGTTCTTGAATGGCCCAGCCAGAGCCCTGACTTAAACCAAATTGAGCATCTCTGGAGAGACCTAAAAATGGCTGTCCACCAACGTTTACCATCCAACCTGACAGAACTGGAGAGGATCTGCAAGGAGGAATGGCAGAGGATCCCCTGAAAAACTTGTTGCATCTTTCCCAAAAAGACTCTGTAATACTGGCTGTATTAGATCAAAAGTGTGCTTCAACTAAACACTGAGCAAAGGGTCTGAATACTTAGGATCATGTGATATTTCAGTTTTTATTTTTTAATAAATCTGCAAAAATGTCAACAATTCTGTGTTTTTCTGTCAATATGGGGTGCTGTGTGTACATTGAGGAAAAAAAATTAACTTAAATGATTTTAGCAAATGGCTGCAATATAGCAAAGAGTGAAAAATTTAAGGAGGTCTGAATACTTTCCGTACCCACTGTATACCAATATAATCTATACAACTATTCTAAAACCAGTTTTAGTTTATTATATATGGATTTACAGAAAAGTGTGATTATTTTTTTTCCATAATACTTTCCATACATTTTCACTATATTAAAGGGGTCATATGATGTTGCTAAAAAGAACATTATTTTGTGTATTTGGTGTAATGAAATGTGTTTATGCGGTTTAAGGTAAAAAACCCCCATTATTTTCCACATACTGTACATTATTGTTTCTCCTCTATGCCCCGCCTTTCTGAAACGCGTAGATTTTTATAAAGCTCATCGGTCTGAAAAGCGAGGTGTGCTCTGATTGGCCAGCTATCCAGTGCGTTGTGATTGGCTGAATACCTCAAGCGTGTGATGGAAATGTTACGCCCCTTACCATACTGTGATGCCTTGTGCGACGAGACAAAAACATTAAACCCATTATAAATGAGGCATTTGTTGCATCCAGTGGGGACATAATTATGGACTATAATGACTTATACTGTCTTTTTACGCATTGCGTTGCATCGCGCTGCGTAAACATAAAACCATGTCTGCATTTGTGAT